CCTCTTTGAACAGCTGTGGCATGGTCTATATACAGGTTCTACCCGAGTACAGTGAATACATATCCACTATCATAGGGTGGGAATTGACTCAGTGGGAATTGACTCAGTGACAGTACTAGAAGGAATGAATGAATCTGTTGTAGAAATCCAACCAAGATGCTCATTAGAAGCAAGGATGGTGAGACTTTGCCTCACATCCTTTGAACATGTTCTCAGGAGGGATCAGTCCCCAGAGAAGGACATAACATACTTAGAGTGAGTGGGGCAAAAAGGGTGACTTTCCATGAGCTGAGACGCAGCTGTGACTGGGTGGCACAGAAGAAGGCACTTGTTCACGTTAGCCGACATAGTGTTGCTGTGAGCTGGCGCCAAGTTGATGGCACCTCGCAACAAGAAGAAGATGAAGTGATTTAATATTGGTGAGATGTTTTAGAAAATGTTTTATTTAATCTTAAATTTGTTTCATCTTTGAGTCAGTCTTTAAAATATTTACATTTCTGTGTAAGGTCTTTTTTTTAAATGACCATGCTTGATTAGCACAGTAGTTTGCCTATATAATCTATAAATATCCCTGTAATGAAAAAACATTTCAGATTTTTTAGCAAATTGGTGTGGGATTAAAAAGTCTGGCACATCTGTCACTGGGAACACAATAAGGTTCACATTTTTGAGTAGCTTTATTATTTTACCCCTGCAGTTAAAATGCATATATTATCTTGTTATAATGGTAGAGTGCCCTTGGTGTTAAATCATGTTGAGGTGACTTTTTTTCACCTGAAGTGAAAGAAAGCGAAGCCAGACGGAATTAATCAAGTGTAGAACGAATATGTGTGAAGTAGGTGTTCGATAACCAAGGTCTCTGCAATTCAATAATAAATGGATTGTGCTGTTGCAGCTCATTCACGGGGAAGCTGTGTCTCAATCTAAAAGGAACATGAATTATAAAATATGCTTTAAAAGATATTTAATAATTTTAAGAACAGATGAGAGGAAAGCAAGTTAATTGTATCTTAGCAAATCTTTTAAATGCTTTCATTGGACAAATGTTGAGAATTATTTACCACGACTCATTATTTGAATTAAAATTAATACCAAAGTGGTGCTTGAAAATGATCCTTTCCCCTTTTACACTCAAATAGGCTAAACATTTGCTTTGTTTATACCATTAATTTGTTTCCACACGGACTGCAAAGGTAACCATCAACTCAGAATTAATTAGTGAGTCAAAATTAATGAGGTTTTACCGTATTGGGCCATTTTCACTCTAGGCCAGTTTTCATATGAGTCAGACTCGCATTTTCTTCAAAGAAGAAAAATTAGATTTATTTAAATCCATATTTAAAAAGCAGAGAGCCATCTTTTCTTGTGAGTTAAGTACCTCTAATAGCAGTGCTTTCTTGGGCTTAGTAATATTGATTTTTTGTTGTTGTTTTCATTCTTGATTATTTTGGCTATTTCCAGGCTGTTGCTCATCACAGTAAAACTTGAGTTAACTCTTCAGATGCTCACCACCATTTACAGGAATGGTATGTTCGCTGTAGACTAAAATTTTCATTTGCCAACATCATTATGATACTCTATAAAAGAGATATAAAACTATCCTCAAAACTTATTCAAATTGACATGTATCAAGAGGAAATGCATGGTGTGGAAACAAAAACTAGAGTTTTTGGAATTACATAGCTGCTTGTTTATTGTTCCTTCAGAAAAAGCCCCACTTCTAAAAACAGTCTAGGTTCCTATTCTGTGTTTGCTCCCCCCGCCCCCCCCCCACC